TTACTATGAGACCTACTCTTCTCCCCTCCTTTCTCCTTTTGAGGGATAGTCCTTACTATGAGACCTACTCTTCTCCCCTCCTTTCTCCTCTTGAGGGATAGTCCTTACTATGAGACCTACTCTTCTCCCCTCCTTTCTCCTCTTGAGGGATAGTCCTTACTATGAGACCTACTCTTCTCCCCTCCTTTCTCCTCTTGAGGGATAGTCCTTACTATGAGACCTACTCTTCTCCCCTCCTTTCTCCTGTTGAGGGATAGTCCTTACTATGAGACCTACTCTTCTCCCCTCCTTTCTCCTGTTGAGGGATAGTCCTTACTATGAGACCTACTCTTCTCCCCTCCTTTCTCCTCTTGAGGGATAGTCCTTACTATGAGACCTACTCTTCTCCCCTCCTTTCTCCTCTTGAGGGATAGTCCTTACTATGAGACCTACTCTTCTCCCCTCCTTTCTCCTGTTGAGGGATAGTCCTTACTATGAGACCTACTCTTCTCCCCTCCTTTCTCCTGTTGAGGGATAGTCCTTACTATGAGACCTACTCTTCTCCCCTCCTTTCTCCTCTTGAGGGATAGTCCTTACTATGAGACCTACTCTTCTCCCCTCCTTTCTCCTCTTGAGGGATAGTCCTTACTATGAGACCTACTCTTCTCCCCTCCTTTCTCCTCTTGAGGGATAGTCCTTACTATGAGACCTACTCTTCTCCCCTCCTTTCTCCTCTTGAGGGATAGTCCTTACTATGATACCTACTCTTCTCCCCTCCTTTCTCCTCTTGAGGGATAGTCCTTACTATGAGACCTACTCTTCTCCCCTCCTTTCTCCTCTTGAGGGATAGTCCTTACTATGAGACCTACTCTTCTCCCCTCCTTTCTCCTCTTGAGGGATAGTCCTTACTATGAGACCTACTCTTCTCCCCTCCTTTCTCCTCTTGAGGGATAGTCCTTACTATGAGACCTACTCGTCTCTCTGTGTCATTACTATCCATATGGTGTCTCTCATCATCATGTCCCATCTAGCTGTTTTTGTTGAAGTCAAAACATGTCTATTCTCTCGAAGTTGATGTTAATGTAGTGTGATCTCGCAGGTCCTTACATAACGAAGGATTGTATGATAATGTAGTCCTCAGGAGTCTATGACTGTGATATTCAAGGTCTGGTGTGAAAGGATGAGCTTTTCTGAATCGTATGATGTTACAGATTTGCTGACAGTATGACGATTAGAATAAATGAAATCGTTGGTTTTAAATGAATGCAATATGCATTGTCATTTTTACAACGTGGATATCTCGTAATCTGAAATATGAATCAATTTAGCTAAACAGAGTGAATGTTAGCACTAGTTAATTACTGCTTATATCAGTTATTAGCCAACTGTTTATGTAGGAGTAATCATGCATGCTTGTTCAGTGTTGGTATTACCAGTGCTTTTGTACACTGAGTGTACAAAACGTTAAAGACACCTTCCTAATATTAAGTTGCACCCCCCCTTTTGCCCTCAGAACAGCCTAAATTCGTCTGGGCATGGACTCTACAAGGTGTCAAAAGCGTTCTACATGGATGCTGGCCCATGTTGACTCCAATGCTTCCCACAGTTGTGTCAAGTTGGCTGGATGTCCTTTGGGTGGTGGACCGTTCTTGATACACACGGGAAACTGTTGAGCATGAAAAACCCAGCAGCGCCTGGCACCTACTACCATACCCCGTTCAAAGGCACTTAAAGATTTTGTCTTGCCCATTCACCCTCTGAATGGCACACATACACAATCCATGTCTCAATTGTCTCAAGACTTTAAAATCCTTCTTTAACCTGTCTCCTCCCCTTCATCTACATTGAGTGGATTTAACAAGTGACATCAATAAGGGATCATAGCTTTCACCTGGATTCACCTGGTCAGTCTATGTCATGGAAAGAGCAGGTGTCATTAATGTTTTGCAACCTCTGTTTATGTCTTGTACCTAACTCTCCTAGAATAGAAACATGATGGCTAAACTGTGTAATAAGAAAGAGTCATCCATTTTTCTGCTTGCTCTCTTCTTCTTATTGCAGTGTCAATTTAGAATAAGTAAATTAGAAGACATTTGAAAAAAGCAAAGAACTGAAAGAACCTCAAACCTGGATTATGTCATCATGACTGTCTCAGCCAGGTGGAACAACTAGGGGGATATTCTCCCCTGCTTTTGATCCAGAGGCTGTTTGCTAATTACAACAGACTTTCTACATCCCTTTTTTCTTTTTGGGGGTGATTTTGGACCTTCAGTTGTACTGACTGTTTCTTTCTTCCCTGTTTTGTTTCAAGCGAGACCAAAACCAGTGCCATACAAACTGTGCAAAATAACAACAACGACGAAACTATCAAAAAGTCAAATGTATCATTCATATCTTATATTTCAGTTAGTGTCATCTTGAGTTCACACAGCGTTCACATTCAATATCAAAATAGTCATTTTGAATTAGTCTCCCTAACACATAAAATACACATTTCAGATCCCTATTATATCAAAATAGCATTGAAGCTCAAAGCATACATAAACTCATAACATTCTATCAATAAAAAAGTAGTTAAAACCACATTGTGGAGAGTTAGCCTAATGCCTGTAGAGAGGTGTTAAACGTACATTCATTGTCCTTCGTCAGTGTTAAAAAAAATCTTTCAGATTTGTATGAATAGTGCATTATTGGTTCATTATACTAATCATTAATGGTGGCCTGTATTTGTTTGTAGTGCATTAGCTGGAGCATGGTAAGCAGTGACAACTCACAAACTTGCTCAGGCTCTGACAGCTCGGCCCCAGATCGATCAATCGAACTAGGCTTTGACTGACTGAAGGGCAAGACAATTCACATATAACGTGATAAATTGACCTTGCTGCTATTCTGTCGCTACTTTGCTTATCTCCCTCAATGTCTACCTCAATTTTTTTTTTTTTCTCTGTCAGAATCTCTCCAGCATTCTCCCATACAGCACATGTAGGCACGCCACATTTAACAATCTGAAAAGCCCCCCGTTTCCTTTTAACCCGAATGATATTCAAACCTTTGTGTTCTTATTTTTTTCCTCTCAAAACATGCAACACAGCCCCTCAGCGTATTGCTGTTGTCTGTCAAAGGAGATACACTTTAACACTTAAGCCATATTACACCAGTCATACTATGACCAAACATTTAGAACTATCATCTCACTATGTTTAAGATTTCTTTGCATCGACACCATCTCATATAGTGACTTTCAAATATAGCTTATATGATACTAGGATACCATTTACTACATTTTTCATAAGGAAATAGCCTATAAAGCTATTTATATTAGATTGTTCTACCTTTCTCTTTTAGGTCACAATTACCATGTATCTGTAGTCATCAGCCCAGGTTAGATTAGGCTGGAAAGTGACCATATCGTTGTGTACATTTTCTCCACATATTCTGCATTGAACGAATGAATCCAGACATTTTCATGTCTGTTCTGTGGGCGGAGCCGCGCTGTCCTGCCAGAACCGGGCCCAAGCCCACCTTCGTTCTATTCTGTTGGGCAGAGTTAAACTCAGAGCAGAGACACTCACGCAAGGGGATCAAACACACATAGATCCTTAGCCTCCTTTCGTCACTCCACCTCCCATCACCAGTCCTAATTCACCAAAACATTTTGTACTATCTCCGGCTGCCTTTATTCATTTTGTCCATCATTCCCTGTGTTATATCTTAGTTTTTCCTTTCTCACTAAGTTAGGTGTAAATTGTGTGGTCCCAGTCTGTCTCAACTATATATGCTGCTTGGTACATTTCTGCAGTACCCACTTTCACCGGACCTTGTGACAAGCTTTTGTGATTGGTCCTTGTCTCCTAGTGCAAACCCTGTAGGCTTTCAACCACTGTATTTGAGTCAGAATTTAGAATCCCAAATCTCTCTGAATAATATTTCCTCAATTGACCACCCCACCTCTATTTCCTTTCTCTCAATATTCAAATAGTTTATTTGTGAACAAATAGAAAGTTCAGTGCAGAAGAAAGGACACTATCAAGCTAATACTGATAATAAACAGTGCCAAATCTGTTCTAGCACGTTTATTGACATGATGAATTAGAGACACCTAAAGCTGCCAACACAATTGTTTACAATTCAAACAAAGTTTTACGTAAAGGTTTGCAGGTCAAATACCTACAACAGAAAACTGAAGTGCCAATTCCAAGTGATAATACAATTAAGCATAGGTACTCAAATAAAGAAAATGAAGTTTACATACAACGCTTAATGTTTACAGACTACACCTGCCCTTCAAAGAGGATTTGCTAGCTACATTATTCATAACTTTGTGCCATAGTTCAAAAGACTCCGAAGGGTTCGAAACGTTTACACATTGATTTTGTTTACAAGATAATGCTGCCTATCATAAAGAAAGACAACCCATACTTGCCATTTTAGTGAGTTCTGCACAGTAGAGACCACAAAATTATCATTACTCTTACCATTCCATAAAATAACACTTTATTGATTGGTGTTTACAATATATACATTTTCCAGCATCCTTATCATCTGTTTTGTTTTTGTGTGCTAAGTTGAAGTTGTCGAGACAAACTTAAAATAGTCCTTTCACAAGTATAGCCATAATATAGGCCAGTACATGCTAAGGCCTAAAACATAGAAATATAGAAAACCTCAATGTTTACATGAGCTGCTTACGAACGGTAATGGATTTGTATTGAGAGCTTGAGAGATATGTTTACATAAATACATACAAGTTACATGCCACACATATTGCTTGAACAAACAAAAAAATCACTCATAAACAAAGTAAAAACATCCACACTAGTTCTGTACATGGAAGCACTAACAAAGGATTAGTTCACCGTATTCAAGTTGAAACCTTGAGTAGAAGCTTTTTATATTTTTACGCTTACACGTAAGTGAAATTCAAAGAAGATAGAACACTATCCCTCTTGGAAGAGGACCTTGATATTTGAACACCCGGCAGGCCTTTAATTTTTTTTACATTGTCTCAGAAACGCTGAAAAATGAGGCCTAGAACCTACAGAAGGATGTTCAGCAACTCCCTCATATTTGTCCTTGTGTCCGGCCTCGTCCTTTCCGCCGTGACCATCACCACAGAGCGCCACTTATCCAACGGCGGCCCCAGCGGCACCACTCTGTTCCTCCTCACCGGCTTTGGGAACAAACCAATGCCACTGCCTCCGGGGGGGCCGAAGGTGGCGCCTAAAGCGGCTGAAATGGAGGACGCTCAGGACAGTGAGCCGAAAGAACCCGAAATGCTCCCCAAGCCCCTCCCCCAGATCAAGCTCCCTCAGAACATGACGGCAGCTGACGCCCTCAAACCCCCTCTGGGTGCCGCCCAGGTGGCTCCACCCCCCCGGCGCCTGGTGGATGTGGACATGTGCCGGGCCTACTACGACGTCATGGGCCAGTTAGACAGCACTTTCAACTGCTCCAAGGGCACCTACATCTACTGCTGCGGCACCTGCCACTACCGCTACTGTTGTGATCACCAGCGTAGCCGCCTGGACCAGGAGTCGTGCAACAACTACAACTCGCCTGGGTGGCTCGACACACCGCAGCCGAACCCCCCGCCCTCGGGGAACCGGGGTGATCCAGACTCAGAGCAGCTACAGCAGCAGAGCAACAGCACGGCGTACGTGATCGGAGGGGTGATCTCCTTCACCCTAGTGGTGGCAGTGGGCATCAAGGTGGCCTTCCACAAGATATCCCGACGACCCCGGAACAGAGACATCAACATGCCCAGGTGAGAAAGGAATGGAGAATTCAGCAGTGTCTGAAAAGGCTGTATGGGTGTATGTGGGTCTGTCAGTGGGTTGTAGTCTTTGAAATTCAGCACGTTACTAAGTTTTACTGAGGTCACAAGCCACAGACTAAAGGGGTGATGAAACTGAACCACAATCAATGAACAAATAACACATTTACATTGGTGGCAAATTAAATTGAATACTCTATTTTTGAAAGGAAAGTAGTTTGTTCTACTCTCTCGCCCTTGTCCATCTTTTTTCATTCCCCGCCTCTCCCCTCGTCTCTCCTCCTTCTCCCAGAGCCCTGGTGGACATCCTACGCAGCCAGGCCAGCCCAGTCCAACAGGGGGAGAGGAACAACAGCACCGTCCTGACCACCGCCACCACAGGCGGCAGCCTCGGTCGTCCCCCCAAGAACCTCTACACCCCGGTGCTCCAGAGCAAAGACAACCGCAGTGAGTGACGCAACAAAAAGCATGGGACGATAACATTGTAATAACAATGTTATAACACTGTTAGTATAATAACTCTTATAACGCTGTTATTACATTGTAATAGCACAGTAATACCCTGTTTTCAGATATATGAACCATTACAGTGATGATGGTGGACAGCGGTGGTGAACGCAATAGCCTAGTAATGCTGACTGTATGGAGTCGCGATCAACATGCTCGCACTCTAAACACGCTCATGTAATCCCACAGCGCACACACCACACAATGCTCATGCTCACACATACACGCACAAGTGGCTATACCATCAGTGTTCGCTGTGCTCTCTTGCAGTTGGCAACTTGCACCACAATTTTATCCAGGTGTCTGGTTCCAGCCCCAAACACTCGGCTACTAAGGGTAAGCCTAACTAGATAACACAGGCAGCGGGTGTGTGAGTTGGCATCATGACACATCTGTCTGGTGTTGTACATGTACCATTAGGTGTGTTTCCTTAACACAGTCGCTGCATCAGTGCTCCCACTCACTCTGTGTGTGTCTCCCTCGTAAGTGTCTCAGTATGCACTATGTACTGTATCCGTTTGTACTGTAAGTGTGCTTACTTACACTGTGGGCCTTGGTTTGAGTGAAGTCAGTGACCGAAGCCTGTGTGTGTTACTCCACAGTGGTCAATGTCTCCCGTGTGCTCCCTCAGTGGTTATAAAGACATTATTGGCCGTCATTGCCCATTATTGTACATGGTCAATGGCCAAAGTGTCAGACAATCATCTTGGCTTGTTTTATATGTTACCTCAAAGGACCTTCATACTAGTCACCTTAGAATGACTTGAAAATGTACAAATTACAAATGGCAGCAATTCTCTAAGACTAATAATGTGTGAGGAATTGGCACGTTTCGTCAATATATATGCACCTTTAAGGGCAGTTTAAATGTACTTATACATGTTGGCCCATTATAAATGTAGCTACCTACCAAATATGTGTTAGGTCCTTGTAAATGTATATATGTGTGTGTATGTATATATATATATATATATATATACTACCGTTCAAAGGTTTGGGGTCACTTAGAAATGTCCTTGTTTTCGAAAGAAAATAAATGTTTTGTCCATTAAAATAACATCAAATTGATCAGAAATACAGTGTAGACATTGTTAATGTTGTAAATGGCTATTGTAGCTGGAAACGGCTGATTTTTTAATGGAATATCTACATAGGCATACAGAGGCCCATTATCAGCAACCATCAGTCCTGTGTTCCAATGGCACGTTGTGTTTGCTAATCCAAGTTTATCATTTTAAAAAGGCTAATTGATCATTAGAAAACCCTTTTGCAATTATGTTAGCACAGCTGAAAACTGATTAAATAAGCAATAAAACTGGTCTTCTTGAGACTAGTTGAGTATCTGGAGCATCAGCAATTGTGGGTTCAATTACAGGCTCAAAATGGCCACAAACAAATAACTTTCTTCTGAAACTCGTCAGTCTATTCTTGTTCTGAGAAATGAAGGCTATTCCATGTGAGAAATTGCCAAGAAACTGAAGATCTCTTACAACGCTGTGTACTTCTCCCTTCACAGAACAGTGCAAACTGGCTCTAACCAGAATAGAAAAAGGAATGGGAGGCCCCGGTGCACAACTGAGCAAGAGGACAAATACATTAGTGTCTAGTTTGAGAAACAGATGCCTCACAGGTCCTCAACTGCCAGCTTCATTAAATAGTAATAAAATAAAAGATTAAGATGGGCAGTCTGAGCTTTTCCGGAATGACTGACCTTCATGTCTTAAAGTAATGATGGACTGTTGTTTCTCTTTGCTTATTTGAGCTGTTCTTGCCATAATATGGACTTGGTCTTTTACCAAATAGGGCTATCTTCTGTATACCACCCCTACCTTGTCACAACACAACTGATTGGCTCAAACGCATTAAGAAGGAAAGAAATTCCACAAATTCACTTTTAACAAGGCACACCTGTTAATTTAAATGCATTCCAGGTGACTACCTCATGAAGCTGGTTGAGAGAATGCCAAGAGTGTGCAAAGATGTCATCAAGACAAAGGGTGGCTACTTTGAAGAATCTCAAAAAGTTTAACACTTTTTTGGTTACTACATGATTCCATATGTGTTATTTCATAGTTTTGATGTCTTCACTATTATTCTACAGTGTAGAAAATAGTACAAATAAGGAAAAACCCTTGAATGAGTAGGTGTGTCCAAACTTTTGACTGGTACTGTATATATATATATATATATATATATATATATATACACACTGTAAATATATATGTGTATGTATGTGTTAGGTCCTTATAAACATACTCAAATATATTATGTTAATAAACATGTTACAGTGAGGGGAAAAAGTTTTTGATCCTCTGCTGATTTTGTACGTTTGCCCACTGACAAAGACATGATCAGTCTATAATTTTAATGGTAGGTTTATTTGAACAGTGAGAGACAGAATAACAACAAAAAAATCCAGAAAAACACATGTCAAAAATGTTATAAATTGATTTGCATTTTAATGAGGGAAATAAGTATTTGACCCCTCTGCAAAACATGACTTAGTACTTGGTGGCAAAACCCTTGTTGGCAATCACAGAGGTCAGACGTTTCTTGTAGTTGGCCACCAGGTTTGCACACATCTCAGGAGGGATTTTGTCCCATTCCTCTTTGCAGATCTTCTCCAAGTCATTAAGGTTTCGAGGCTGACGTTTGGCAACATGAACCTTCAGCTCCCTCCACAGATTTTCTATGGGATTAAGGTCTGGAGACTGGCTAGGCTACTCCAGGACCTTTAATGTGCTTCTTCTTGAGCCACTCCTTTGTTGCCTTGGCCGTGTGTTTTGGGTCATTGTCATGCTGGAATATCCATCCATGACCCATTTTCAATGCCCTGGCTGAGGGAAGGAGGTTCTCACCCAAGATTTGACGGTACATGGCCCCGTCCATCGTCCCTTTGATGCGGTGAAGTTGTCATGTCCCCTTAGCAGAAAAACACCCCCAAAGCATAATGTTTCCACCTCCATGTTTGACGGTGGGGATGGTGTTCTTGGGGTCATAGGCAGCATTCCTCCTCCTCCAAACACGGCGAGTTGAGTTGATGCCAAAGAGCTCGATTTTCGTCTCAACTGACCACAACACTTTCACCCAGTTCTCCCCTGAATCATTCAGATGTTCATTGACAAACTTTAGACGGCCCTGTATATGTGCTTTCTTGAGCAGGGGGACCTTGCGGGCGCTGCAGGATTTCAGTCCTTCACGGTGTAGTTACCAATTGTTTTCTTGGTGACTATGGTCCCAGCTGCCTTAAGATCATTGACAAGATCTTCCTGTGTAGTTCTGGGCTGATTCCTCATGATCATTGCAACTCCACGAGGTGAGAGCTTGCATGGAGCCCCAGGCTGAGGGAGATTGACAGTTATTTTGTGTTTCTTCCATTTGCGAATAATCGCACCAACTGTTGTCACCTTCTCACCAAGCTGCTTGGCGATGGTTTTGTAGCCCATTCTAGCCTTGTGTAGGTCTACAATCTTGTCCCTGACATCCTTGGAGAGCTCTTTGGTCTTGGCCATGGTGGAGAGTTTGGAATCTGATTGATTGATTGCTTCTGTGGACAGGTGTCTTTTATACAGGTAACAAACTGAGATTAGGAGCACTCCCTTTAAGAGTGTGCTCCTAATCTCAGCTCGTTACCTGTATAAAAGACCCCTGGGAGCCAGAAATCTTTCTGATTGAGAGGGGGTCAAATACTTATTTCCCTCATTAAAATGCATATCAATTTATAACATTTTTGACATGCGTTTTTCTGGATTTTTGTTGTTGTTATTCTGTCTCTCACTGTTCAAATAAACCTACCATTAAAATTATAGACTGATCATTTCTTTGTCAGTGGGATATGTACAAAATCAGCAGGGGATCAAATAATTTTTTCCCTCACTGTAGGTCATTCTAAATGTAGCCCTATGTGTTAGGGCCCTGGTTAATGCTCCCGTAAATGTCCTCCTCTCTTCCTCCTCTTCCTTCTCCAGAGCGCGTGCCCCGCATGAACAACACCCAGCTGGCCTCCACAGGGACCCTCCTCACCAGCAAGCACAACAACAGCTCCGGCCTGTACCCGCACCCCCCTTTCTCGCACTCCTTCCACAATCTGGCCCAGCTTCCCCCCTCCTATGAGGTGGCCATGAAACCTGAGATCAACCGCTACAGCTCCCTGAAGAGGCTCGGTGAGCAGGGGAGCGGTGGGGGAGGGGCCATGGGGCGGGGGCCGGAGAGAGGGCTGGATGTCTGGGTGGCAGCCGCTGCTGGGAGGAAGGCGACTGGAGGTGGGGGGAAGGAACTGGTGGTGGTGGTTAGAGAGAGAGAGCTCCAGAGATGTGAGTGTGTGTGGAAGAAGCAATAACAGGCGAGAAGCAGCGGCCGATGATGTGTGTCAGATGTATTCTCTTTTGATGTGCCTTAATGTAGGCTTCTATAGTCTATAGAATGGGCGTTGATAAAGGCTTGTTTGTCTAGAGTGGGTGCCCCAGAAAACTATATAATATGGAGGATGTACAGGGGGATTGTAGAATAAACAGAGAGAGAGCAACCAACGGTTGGCTAATGGTCACATTTAAATTGGCTCTCAGGGTGCTCAGTCCAGGGAAAGTCTTTAAAGATTAAATACTTCTTAGGGCGAGAAATGTTGAACACTTTGTTTCACCTAATAATGAATGAATTTCACGAACTGTTATTTCTAAATTTCTTTCTTTCATCCTCCCTCTTTTTTTACCACTCACAAAAAAAACAGAGAAAGATCTGGATGAATACTCTGGCTACTACTCATCGAAGCGACGACCTAACAACGCCCCTCTGTCTTTCCACTCCTCCCAGCACCACCTCCACTGGGGCGGTGACTACACTCTCGGAGCCAGGGGCACCCCATCCCTCCACTCCTCCCGGCCATGTATCCATGTGCCCACATCCACCCCCAACCCATACCCTCTGCCAGCCCAGTCGTCGGGGTACCAGACTGCCTTCGACAAGCCCCCACGGAGGGTCATGTCCCAGGACCAGCTCCTGGCGCTCAGTGAGGGCAACACCCTCTCCAGACTCTCCAAGAACCAGCAGCACCAGTACTACAAGGGTATGACCACCAGCAAGAGCTCCACCTCACAGATGCTTCGCAAGTCCCACGAGAGACTCCTAGTCTCGCCCGACTGTCTGGAGGAGAGGATGGGGGGCATGGGCATGCCAGGGGTGGGCAGTATGGTAGGTATGAGCGGGATGGGGGGCATGGGTGACTTTGGGGGGATGGGGGTCCAGACAATGGGACACCTCAGCCACAAGGCCCAATCACAGCAGAACGTCTGCATCACACCCTCGCTGGACCGTCATCACATGATCAAGATGAACTCCCACCCCACATCGGGCCACGAGCTGGAGAGGAGTGTGGCGGGCCACCCGGTAGAAAACTGGGGGGACCCTCATGGGCACGGACCAGGGGCCGGGGTAGGGCCAGGGAGCGGGGCGGGGACCATCGGGGGCCACAACGCGCGGAGGATGGCATTCACCACCAAGAGGCAGAACACCATCGAACAGCTCCAATATATCCCTGGGGGCGGAGGAGGGGGCCAGACATTGAGGACGGCTAGTAAGAACGAGGTGACTGTGTGAGAGAGTAAAGCCGACGGAGAAGGAGAGATGAAGGTCGTGTTGAGAATGTTCAAGCTGAAAGTGTTCACACAGAAAGAAAAGGGAGAGGAAGGAAAGGTCAATTGGGGCAAGAAAGATGAATAGAAGGAGAAACGAGAGAGACATGGGCAAGCTGATGAGAGAGGAGGATATGACGAAGATACTACGTCCCAACAAGAATGAAAGACGTGAGAGAAGAGTGGATGCCATTGTTACCTGTTGCCAGGAAACACAGAAAAGGGCAATGATAGAAAGAAACCATTGAGAAAATTGAATTATTAGAGGGAATTTTGAATGAAGCCTATTGATTTGATTCATGTTATTGTGAGTCTTGGAAAAGAGAATATTCAGCCATATTGTTGAGGAGGGAGAAAGAAAAAGGGGCCATGTATAGAGCAAAAAATGAATAATTTCAATAAGTTTTTCGTGCAATTGAAACATTATCCTAGGACATGATGACTTTTACTAGTGGATTAATTGAATAAATGGTTATTGAGTTTCTTGTTGTGAAGCATCTAGCTGCTCTGACAGAGAGAACAAACCTGTCTTTGAATCTGAACAGACACTGAGATGTCAATGGAATGCCGAACAATGTGATGGTGTTGACTTTTGTAAAAAATACGAGACTGTAAATTGTTGTTTTTTGGAAAGGAATAAAGCCCTGTTAGACAGTATGTATATTCTGGGGGGGGGGGGGGGTGTATCACACTGCTATAGCCTGATGACTTAATGGCTGACACTGAGTGAACGTTTGAGTTGCCCATTATCACTTTCCTAATTTGTGATTGGACGACTTGAAAATAGACACATTTGGATTACAGTTGCTAGCTACCACAATCTCACACTACAGCCATAACTTAGTCTGCTAACATTTTGTATAAGGTCATGTAAGGGTTGAACCTCTTGATTATGGCTGGATTTATTCAGTTATTATTAGCATGATTTGACACAAATATAACTTTGCTGCATGACCTTTGCACCCTCGCCTGATTGGCTGGCTGGTCGATGTGACGGCTGTCACTCCCATAGAGACCGAAGTCTCTAATGAGCATTTTCACAGCTCTGAGGTCAGTTTCCAAACTGTGGAGCTGATTCCAGTTACGTTTATAGTCACACAGAAATGCTTCAACACTGTTATTCGACACACAATGTCAGTCATGTTTTTAAGGAGTTAAAGACCACCTGAAAGAAGAAAACGAAACACATAAGATGAGAATGAAAGCTCATTGAAGTTGTGTTAATTTTGAGGGACACTGCCATACAGAGAGTTTACCTCTTGGCTAATGCAAGGGCTTTGTTTACCTGCCCATGGGTCTGTCCCTTAAAACAATCCCCAAAACCAATCAAGCTCCTGCTCCATTGATAATCCTTTCTGAGCTGTTTACCACAGATTGTGAGGTAATACATTGATTTGTTAGTAGTTAATATACCAATCACTACTCACAGACTTCTCTGAATTCCACATGACTGTTTCTGAAACTCAAGCCATTCAGAATATTTGGAGGGTGGGAAAGGGAGAACAGAAGACAATGGACACTTAACACCAAGGGCTATTCTGAAAACTCTTTATGTGTTGTCTGTACTATGTTGGCTTTTTCATTTTTCTGTGTCAATATTGGAGACAGTTTGTGCAACACTGCAGAAATGACTGACACATTTTGTAAGTGTGAAGAAAACAGAGTAAATTCTGCAAAGCTACTTTGTGCCCTCGTGAGGTTGACATTGAGTGTGACAAAAAGCCATCATATTATCGTTTTTTTACATTGCAGGGGTGGAGGTGGACATAATGTCGTATTTTGTACATTTGCAAAAGTTTATTTTTTCGTGCGTTTGACAGGTTATAAGATGGAAGATGTGGTCGTTACTGGACATTTTTGAAAGGGTTGAACTCTCCACTTTGACTTAAGGGATTACTAAATCTTTGTATAGTGTTTGTGTGTTTATGGTCATGGTAATGATTACTATAGATTTACTCTTTGATTATTATTATCATCACCATGATTATTAGTTCCCCTATTTTTATTTTATTCTCTGTGAAGCTCAATGTTTCCTGGATTTTGAATATTCAACTTTCTAATGGATTTTAACCTTTGTATTCTTGACAAAAAAAAGGAGATGCAATCAAAGTAAAAAGACAAACCGCATGAAGATGTCAAAGCCAGTGTTTATGATGTCATAGTGCTGACTTATGATGTCATGGCGTGTATATGTAATGTACATGCGTCTGTATTTGTGTGCCCATGTGTGTATTTTAATGTCATTTCAGGAATGCTGAATCTCACATTTGATCTGACTTGGGATATTACAAGTAAGACAATTGTGTTTTTCAGAGAATCCACAAACTATTTAAAACCCAAGGCTATATTATTACTCATATTGGCTTTTTGGATTCAAAAGCCTAGTATCACAAAGGACATCAATCACAGCTTTCCTTGTTAAGCTACATTCACCAAAGCAAATGTAACAAAAACAAATTCTCACATTTCAAGGTGTAGAGCAAAAGCTATAAAATTCCATTGTTTACATTTTTTGTAAAAATGTATGCATTTCGTTATAAGATTACATTTATGTGACCGGAATATCACTCTTTTCAAGAACTTTACTATTTATTGTAAAGAATTAGGATTTTGCTAGAATAGTTTGGAGAATGTATTGTGACTTGCCATGATTATGGATCACCAATCATAGGACTAGAATGGCCCAATGATTTTTACAGTGAGAAAACTTCAGAATCTTCTTAAACTAAAACGAAGAGAGGCTAAATATATTTATGTCACACGAAGATTCAGTTATATTTTCAATGTATGTTTTTATTGTACTTTTGGAGGTATACTGATGTGATTATGTTTTTGTTGAGTACGCCCTCATTAATCTGTGTGCCTGTAAATGTACTGTTGATTAGTGTGTGTGTGTGTGTGTGCGCGTGGTCTGAGGAAATGATTCCAGAAGGTGTGTGTGTGTGGCGGTAAGAGGGAGGTTGTGGTATAAAATTGTTGTTTTGGTGTGTGGCTCGTGGGGTGACAGTGGCGTGAGGTTTTCCAGATGGAAGGAAGTGTAAGTAAGCATGAGATAGCTTTATTGGCCCCTAATTGTATTAAGGGACAATGAGGAGGCGGGGGTGTACTGTATTCCCCAAGTAACTTGGCATACCTCAGAAAAATGTATAGGGATTAATCTAATAGATAAACCCCAAGTCTGTTTCCAAGAATATTAAGTGAAGATCTCACAAGCGTGCAACCCTTATTTTGATTATTGGTGAATTCTCGCATTTGTAGAATCATACTGTTCAATTGATAATAATAAAAATGACCCACAATGACACATTTTTGTTCTTCCACTGGGTTATTGGTGTTTATCAGATCAACACAAATGATGACTGACTGACTGATTAATGATGGATAGGAAACAGACAAGACAGACAGAAGATCCTGCAACTATGTTGCGGTGCTGAGCACTGTCATTCACCTGTCCAAAATTGAGGTCAGTAATTACGGGAGATAGAATGCATTTTCAATAGAATTTAAATTAATTTTATGAATCCATTGATTCTTAAATAATAAAATGTATATATGCTTTGTAGCAATGCCTTTGTAAAAAACAACAACGTATTGCTTAGAAATATGTTGATTTCATGGACTGTAAAAGTTTGCATCAATATCTTCATGAATTTGACAGTGGTTACATTTCTCCTGCCCCATCCCTCAGCGTTATATCAAATCAAGTGACGGGGCTGCCATTTGGGTGAAAAATGTATTGTGCCTTTAAACTCATTTAGATAATACCTTTGATGATACAGTGGTATCAATACATTGTTATAACATCTACAGAAAATACAGAAATGCCAATGGTGGAGGTGTTGCCGTTTATATTAAGAACCACATTCCTGTAAAGCTTGGAGACGATCTCATGTTAAATACTGTTGAAGTAATATGGCTACAGGTTAATCTGCCTCACCTAAAGCCCATTCTTGTGGGAAGCTGCTATAGACCACCAAGTGTTAACAGTCAGTATCTGGATAACATGTGTGAAATGCTTGATAATGTATGTGATATCAACAGAGAGGTATATTTTCTGGGTGATTTAAATATTGACTGGCGTTCATCAAGTTGCCCACTCAAGAAAAAGCATCAAACTGTAACTAGTGCCTGCAACCTGGTTCAGGTTATCAGTCAACCTACCAGGGTAGTTACAAACAGCACAGGAATTAAATAATCAACATGTATTGATCACATATTTACTAATGCTGCAGAAATGTGCTTTAAAGCAGTATCCAAATCCATCGGATGTAGGGATCACATATAGTAGCCATATCTAGGAAAACCAAACTTCCAAAGGCTGGGCCTAATATAATGTACGAGAGGTCATACAATAAGTCAGTTTTGTAGTGATCCCTATGTTGTTGATGTAAAGAATATTTGTTTGTCTATGGTGTGTAATGAGGAGCAACTAGATGATACACTTGACATATTTATGGCATTCCTTATTCCAGTTACTAATAAGCAATCACCCATTAAGAAAATGACTGTAAAATCCCTGTGGATAGATGAGGAATTGAAAAATGTTATGGTTGAAAGGGATGAGGCAAAAGGAATGGCAAATAAGTCTGGCTGCACAACCGATTGGCAAAGGTACTGCAAATAGAGAAATAATGTGACTAAACTGAATAAAAATAAACTATACTATGAAACAAAGATAATTGACAAAGAATGATAGTAAAAAGCTTAGGAGCGCCTTAAATGGCATTTTGGGCAAAAAGGCAAACTCAGCTCAATCATTCATTGAATTAGATGGCTCATTCATCACAAAACCCACTGATATTGCCAATTACTTTAATGATTTTTTCATTGGCAAGATTAGCAAACTTAGGCATGACATGCCAGCAACAAACACTGACACTACACATCCAAGTATAACTGATCAAATGATGACAAGCATTGTAATTTTGAATTCCGTAAAGTGAGTGTGGATGAGGTGGAAAATTA